AATTTCCAAGTTATATATTGGATAGCTTTCAATAACATATGTTTTAGAGATTACGTACGAAATATTTCTCTGAAATGTTTTCTAATATTTCTGAAATATTTCTGTTGGGTCCGTTACCTCGGGAAGGTAATCGGAGAGTGATAGGAGACTCAGTGAATACGCGTAGTAAGACGAACTGTGGTTTCTTTAATAAGAAGTCTGGTTCAAGGCCAGAGATACAAGACGTCCGAGCGTGACCGAGTGTGTATAGAGACTACTGCCATGACAGACTGACGCGCCCTCGGTGCGGTGTGACGGTGGCGCCGGGTGGCGTCGGTAACGATACCCAACATCTCCCTCCTTAGGAAGCTACCCCAGGGCATAGCGTTTGGCGGACGGATCCATGATTAGTCTCCTCGGAGCCATCCGATTACGTGTGGGTCTAACCGGTGTCGTCTGGTTTACTGGGGAGTTCGGGCCCTGGATGTCTGAGGTCTGGTCTGCCGGAGTTGCAGCCGGATGCTGATCGATCTCCGCAGCAGGTGGAGGTTCTCTTGGAGGGGTCCCCGGCGTGGGTGACTGAAGGAACATCCAGTCTTTGTTGGAGCCTGTAGGTGTGGTTGACGGGTCGGAACCCCCTTTCCAAATGTGGTTGACGTGGCGGTCAATGATTCGTCCATCGTCGAGACGGATAGAGTAGCGGGTTTTAGACAGAACTCTATGAATGATGCCTTGTTCTTTTTTATCCTTTCGGGAAAGGACTACCACGCGGTCTCCCACTGTTAGATGTCGAGGACGGGCGCCGTGATGCTTCGAGAACTGTTCTGTCATAGCCAGCTGTTTCTTGACAGAGGTGTCAGCTGGAACGGGCTCGAGAGTCTTGGATTTCGGGAGCCATTTAGTGAGCGGACAGTTCATGCGTCGACCGAACATGAGCTCAGCCGGAGACTTCCCCAAGGGTGACTCTGAGCAAGGCGTGTAACGATAACTATGCAAGAAATCGTGTAGCTGCCTTTTCCAATTAGTAGGGTCTTTGGCGATGGCCCTTTTAACCGTGTTCACCATCCTCTCGGCCTGGCCATTGGATTGAGGGTGGTTAACCGCTGCCAGCAGGTGAGAGGTCTGCATTTCCTTACAGAAATCGGCGAACAATTTCGAGGTAAATTGCGTTCCATGGTCCGAGACTAGCACGTCTGGAGGACCGAACTTGGAGAAAAACTCGCGGCACAAATCGACTGTGCGAGCTGCGGCGATCGTGGGAGTGATCGCCACATCTATAAACTTAGAGTAGGCATCTACAAAAATGAGCAGGTATTGTCCATCGATTGGACCTGCGTAGTCGATATGCACCCTTTCCATTGGGCGAGATGGGAGAGGCCATGGTTCCAGTGGTGCTTTCGTTGGGAGTTTCTGATTCAGCGCGCACGAGTCGCACTGACATACAAGGTGTTCTATGTCGTCCGACATCTTTGGCCAATAAACGTATTCTCGAGCTAGCTGTTTAGTTCTTCTGATGCCGGGGTGGCCTTTATGAAGAGCTGCTAGAATTGTAGACTTGAGCGCCTCTGGAATGACCACTCTATCGCCGAAGAGTAGAGTATCGTCGATGATACTGAGATCTTCTGAGCGTCTTCTGAAGTGTTCCAGTGACTCCGAACTTTCCTTTATCTTCCAATCTTTTTGGATAGCTTGGAAGACCAAGCGCAGAAGAGGATCTTCCTTGGTAGCATCTTTTAGTTTGTTACGGAGTCCTTTACCGAAAAAATCAATTGATAGATTTTTCACTTCGAGGATATCAGCTTCCACTGCTTGAATGCTGGCGACTTGAAGTTCTTCTGCGTTGTCACGGCGAAAATCATCAATCAAACGAGATAGGGCGTCTGCCTGGCCAAAGTCTTGAGTGCGTATGTATTCAATATCAAAGTCGTAACCCAATAGTCGCAGTGCCCAACGTTTAAGTCTGGCAGCTGTGGTGGCTTTGAGACCCTTAGTGTTTTCCGTTTGCAATAGAGCGACTAAAGGTTTATGATCGGTTTGGAGTATAAATTTCCTTCCCCAGATGAATTTACGAAATCGTTCGACAGCTGTGACGAGCGCCAAGGCCTCTTTTTCTAACTGGGAGTAATTCCTTTGGGCGTCAGTGAGGCTTTGTGCCATATGATAGACAGCACGCTCATTGCCGTTTGAGTCTCGTTGTAGGACGCCGCCGATTCCGGTGGCGCACGCGTCCGCTGCAACTATCAGCGTCTTCTCGGGGTCGTAATGTTCCAGAAGAAGAGGGCTGAGCATGACCTTTTTGATTTGGTCGAATGCGAGATCATGAGACTGATTCCATGACCATTTGCAGTTTTTGCGCGTAAGATCTTCCAACGGATGTTTCAGTTGATGTAGATGGGGGATGAATTTACCATAATGGTTCACCATGCCTATAAGAAACTCTGAACCTCTGCAACGGAGGTGGGTTTAGGCATGTTTGCGATGGCGGTAGTAGCGTCTGGATCGGGTGATATGCCCTGTGCGTTGATGATCAATCCCAGGTATTTGATTTCTTCCAGTGAGAAGCGGCATTTTTCGGCACTCAGTCTCCATCCTTGATCCTGTAGGCGTTGGAGAGTCTTCCTTAGGCGTTCGTCATGCTCCTGGCGAGTAGAACCTCTGACTATGACGTCATCGATGTAAGTATTCACTCCTTCGAGGCCGGCGAGTGTAGAATCTATAGCCTGTTGGAAATTTGCTGGTGCGGTTTTGATACCAAACGGAAGGCGTTTAAACCTAAAAAGCCCCTTCGGTGTCGTGATAGTTGTGATATCACGATGTTCTTCGTCGATTTCAAGTTGAAAAAAGCATCACTGAGGTCCAGCACGCTGAAAAAACAACTTCCGTTAAGTTTTGCCATGATCCTTTCGACAGTAGGCAAGGGGATGCTTGTTGTCGTGTAGGGCCTGGTTGACACTTGTGGAATAATCCACGCATAGACGGAGTTTACCATTCCGTTTCTTCACGATGACCATAGGCGATGTCCAGTTGGAGATTACCATAGGCTCGATAATGTCGTTTTCTTCGAGTCGTTGTAATTCTTCGGCAAGAAGGCTTTCCATGGCATAGGGGATCTGTCGACATGGAATCTGTCTCGGACGAGCGTCGTCGGAAGTGAAAAACTTTACTTTGAAATTACGACACCTTCCCAATTCTTTGGAGAATAATACCGGGAAGCGTTTGAGGACATTCTCTAAATAAACGTTATGTTGCGATGTGACTTCGTGATTGTCACTGCTCGCGAGCCTAGATGGCTGTTCGCGGGTTGAATTTACGTTTGACGACTTTAGTGATGACTGCGAAGATGCACACTGTAAGTCTGACGCGGGGCTACTCGGACGTAGCTCGGCTAGCGGTACTGTCCACAAGTTGAGACTGTCTATAGCGTTGAGACCGAATAGGTTAACTCCGTTGCGCGACGCGACGTCAATATGTATTTTTCCTTCACGACCGAGTGCCTGGATCGTACACTTGAATCTACCGATTATATCGAGTTCACTCCCGCCCGCGTGTTCGACTAGCGACGGTTTGACTAGCGACGAGAGCTGGCGAACCGATGCGGATCCAATCCTTTTTACCGATTACCGTAACGTCTGAGCCGGTATCGTATTGTAGAGACACTGATTTGCCGAGCAAGAATACGTTCACGTAATGGCGTCTGCGTTTACCGACCGCGGAAAGTGATTGTGATACGACACTTTTAGCTTTCGCGGAAGATTCGGGCTGTTCCTGAGAGGAGCCGTTTGAGCGACATACCTTTGCGATGTGGCCCTTGCCCGAACACTTGTGGCACACTGCTTCGCGGAACGGACACTTTGCTCGTGGATGAGCACCGCCATTGCCCTTTTTAGTTGCGGAAGATGGCTGGGCTTTCGACGTGTCGGCTTCCGGCGGAGACTTCCGTTTGGGCGCCACTTTGCCCTTATTTTTAGAATGCGCAACGTTTAACACTGCCACTTGAGAATGTTTTGTCGGGTTCTCTAGAGTTTTTAGTCCCGAAGCGACGTTAAGGTAAGCTTCGAGCTCAGCGACGACATCCTTGAGAGACGCGGCTTGATTCTTTTCGACGACGCGAAGCGCGATTCTCTTCAATTCGTCGTTATCTGCGGAAAAACAGAACGATTGTAACAGCAGAAGTATGCGGAGATTATCGTCAGTCAGATTGGAACGGTCGAAGTCGGCTGCGTGCCGGTTGATTCGATCTAGATGTTCCGTGATCGGCGTCGATCTATCGTAACGATAATTGAGAATCTCGATGAGACGGCGGGTGAGGGGAATCTTGTCGCGGAAGAGTTCCTTTAGTGTCGTAATGAGAACTTCTGTAGTCATAGACGAGGGGTCCGTAGGTGCGACGTGATCCACGAGCCTATCGAACTCCGCTTGCCCGAGTTTATCCAGGATAAGACGTGTTTGCATTTGAGTCGGCAAGCACGCTGCTTCCGTGACTACGGTGTACTCGTGGCGCAGCAGCCTTCGTGAACGGCTTAGTTTCGTCGCCCGAGCCGTAGTTGTACTTCTCTACGCGCGCACTCAGATGGTTGAACGTTTCCGAGTCGAGTGCGAAGATGCGCGGGATTGAGATGAGGCCTCGGAATCGTCTTTCTGTTTGTTCAGTTGAAGTTGCACGAGGCTTGAGATAGCCGCTGTGAGAGCCTCTAACTGCTTCGTCGCCTCGGCCATGAGAGCGGAATCACTCACCGATTCTCTTTGTTTCGTACGAAGACAAAGTTACTGCCGCAGCGCCAGTTGTTGGGTCCGTTACCTCGGGAAGGTGATCGGAGAGTGATAGGAGACTCAGTGAATACGCGTAGTAAGACGAACTGTGGTTTCTTTAATAAGAAGTCTGGTTCAAGGCCAGAGATACAAGACGTCCGAGCGTGACCGAGTGTGTATAGAGACTACTGCCCTGACAGACTGACGCGCCCTCGGTGCGGTGTGACGGTGGCGCCGGGTGGCGTCGGTAACGATACCCAACAATTTCAGTGAGAAAGATCAGAAATGATTTCGATAAAACGTTTAAAAAATACTTCTGAATGATTTAAATTTTACATTTCAATATTAGTTTCCAAGTTATCTTTCGGAAAGCTTTCTGAAACTTATTTTGCTGTGTGGGTGAGTAGAAGTTGTAACCAACTTCTACTCAGAGGTTACTCTGCGTGCATATCGAGGCACACACGCAATCGGACACAAAACAGTGTGAGTATTTCACTTTTATATCTGAATGCAGGTTATCTGCAAGATACTTAGTTTGTATTTCAGTGCGTCACAGGTAGACAATGTCGAATCATTTTTTGCAACAACGCGATTTGTATATTTTGTGAATCAGCTTGACAGCAGATTAAAAAAATATAAAAGATTCGTTTTTGCAAAATACGTGACTCTGCATTATTTACCTCTCGTGCACTGGTGTATACAAATGTATGTGTATGTACGTATATATTCTTATGTCCATTTCTCTTTATGTTACAGCGGTGGGAGATTTCCAGAGAAATCTTTATTTTATTATTTACATCTGTAATGATGCATGAGATGCAGTTGTAACCTCTGCGCGCATATCGAGGCACACACTCAGTCTGATACGAAACAATGTATTTAACTTTTATAATTTAACATAGTTTATCTGTGAGGGGTCTATATATGTGTATACATGTGCGTGTGTGTACGTAGATACAAATATATACTTTATATATATATTCTTATGTCTATTTCTTTTTATGTTGCAGCAAAGGAAGATTTCTTTTTCCAGCGAAGTCTTTATTTTAATGTTTGCCTCTGTACTGAGTAGAAGTTGGTTACAACCCGTGTGGAAATTTAAGCTTGCATATACAAAGATGCGAGCCAGTTTTCCTAGACGCCTAGCAAGCTCCTGCCTCTATGTGTAAACTTGTGAAATCCAGTGCCTAAATAGGTATATATAGGTATACTATCCAGGCACTGGCTAACATTTTTCATTATTTCCTGGCCGCTGCTGGCTAGGCGGCTGGCCTGTTCCTTAATTATAGATTCTAAATTCTAGTGCCTATGAATTCATAATTAGAACACATTATCAATAGATTTTATAAACAATAATATATTATAACACTAAGACTGTACAGAAAACCAACCAGCTCACAGAGACAAGATATTGCATGTTAAGGCAAAGCTGCCAGTTCTCGCAGGATCAACAGATATTTTAAACGTTCACGCGGTATATTCACGTCGTGCGATATAACATAACATACGATGACAGTATAACATAACATACATAACATATATGCGGTATAATATAACATACAATATCGATAAATACATATCGAGAATATGATGAACGGTAACAGCCCAGCAAACACAAAGTAACAGTTACATAACTGTAAGTTAAAATTTCCTACTCAACAATATAACTATTATATAACACGTGTGTTATGTAACAGTTATATTGTTGAGTAGGAAATTTTAACTTATATGTAGTTATATAACTGTTACTTTGTGTTTGCTGGGAGTTAATGTATATTTATAGCGTATCATGCTTATCAGCTATTAGATGCGATCCTTGCGGCTTAGACCTCGATGCGGTAATTATTGTGCATTTCCAGCTTGATGTCGTACACCAAGTCCAAAATTTTAAGCATGACCGGCTTTTTATGTACGGAAACAGCCTGATTCATCTCTTCTATCTTGAGTCGCGTGTCCGCCTTGATGCACGCGGCCATGTCCTTCTTTGAACCCATGTGTTTGGCCTCAAAGTCGCGGAATTGTTTTTCGCGTTCTTGCCGTGATGACACAAACCCAAAAGTTTGGTTAAAATTATATGTTTGTTAAAAACATATATGCAACTTCGTAAAAAAATTGAACTTCGCGCGGCCGTCGATATGTATCGAGAAAATCTGGACAGCCACTAGCTAGCCAGAAGGTAACCAGAACATAAAGAAGCAAAATTGTCTAGCTTCTGTTTAGAAAAACTAAACTAGGAAAACTG